GCCACCTGAATGAGCATGGGACCTGCTCCTCCTGGTGCTCCTTTTGAAGTTCTAGAGCAGAGGCCTGAACAGCATTTGACCCACTCAGGCTCTCTTCTAGATTTTTCCTTCTCTCCCTGTCCATTATGGAGACGACAGAAGGCAAAGCATGAAGGGTAGAATTTAGCTGCCTTTTTTTTTGGAAATTATACCACTCATCTAATAAGCACTACTAATTTAACAGTTTAAATTTGCAGTGCTTATAGTATAAGTATCAATACAATTTCAAATGGTTATCTATTAAGCTACTACTATCTACTTATATAATAAGCACTTGTAATTTTAATGTAAGAACCTTTACTATTTCAAATTCTATTATCATTTAATGGTCATTTATTATTTATGAACCCACTATTGTAAAATAAGCATTGTATAATTGTGTAAGGATGGCCATTTTCATGGACACATGCAAAAAGACTACTTTTCTACAACTACTGACATTTTGATGCTTCTGAAACAAATCCTTGTATTTCCATATTTGTCTTTTTCCACGATTTGAAAATGCCAGCTGTCCCTTACATTGTGTTAAAATTTCTTGCTGAATGGACATTTCCTGTCTCCTGTGAAGTTTGAGTTGCATATACTTTGTAAATAAATTAGTTTATATTATTTCTACAACATGTGATAGTTGCATATACTTTGTGAATAAATGAATACTTTGTATTATTTTGTATTTGTTCTAGTTCATTAATTAATTGCTTGTATGTGCCCTACAAATAATTGTTATTTAAAGATGTATATTTCTCTAATTATTTAATTTAAAGTTTAGCCCAAATACTGTATTGTAGTCATTACTGTAGTGAAATGTTAATAAAGCACAGATTATAAAAACAAAAAAAGCTGACTATAAAAATAAAACAGAATATGGTGAATAAAAAATATTAAGTAAAACAAATTGCAGAAAGTAGTAATTGTGAAAGGAAAACTTTGTTGTATAAAATAGGGAGGTAAAAAATGAACAAATAAACATACATAGTTTTTATATATTTTCACATATAAACCTTTCACAGATTTTAGGGTTATTGAGGCTATGCAGATCTTTTCCTCCCACTCTCACTTTTGGCTGGTTTTCCCTGATCCACAGCACAATGCTCACAGTTTAACAGTTTTTCCTCCTGGCCTGAGCAGAATGGGACCCCTTTATAACGGCTGTGACCATAAGCCTTTTGCCGTGGCTGGCCACAAAGGTGACCTGTGGCATAGAGGGCCCTTTTCCTGTACTTTACAGGAATAGCCAACTTCTTGTCTCCCTCTTCCTTCTGCAAACCTTTCTTCATTCTCCAGGCAGTTGTTTTTGGGACGGTTCTCGGTTGATCCTGTCCAGCCACCCTTTTCTGCTCCGCCAGCTCGTCTGAGGCACTCCGGCCTGCTGCCTTAGTGCAAAGCCTGGCTACAGAATTTGCAGGGGGTATGCCGTTGGGTCCCGGCGGCAATGAACTGTGCCACCCTTCTCCTACATCTTCTTGCCCACATCCATTCTCTTCTTCCTCTGCCACGCTGTAGCTTTTGGAACCCTCTCCATGGCAGCCACCGATGATGGTGTTGGCAACACTGCCAAGGAGACTGATGGAGATAAACCTACTCAAACATAATAGAATCTCACAAAATATTCCACAAGCAATGAAGCAAAAACAAAATGAATATAACTGATAAAAAGGTCTGTCAAAATACACAACCTGGTCTGGGTAGATCTTTGAGCACCAGTGGCTTGGAAGGGCCTTGCAATAGTGAGGAGTGTGTGGTCTGAGAGTGGGGCTTGCTCTGCTTGGCCCTGGATGGGAGGTCTGGAGTGAGAGCCTGAGCTGTTCAGGGCCTCTCAAGCTCCCTCCTAAACCTCTTCCTCCTCTCCCTGTCATGACGGGTGGCCAATGTGGAGGACAGAATTTGGACAGTCTCTTCTTGTCCAGTCTCTCAACCTCTGCATTCATGGCATGCATAAAAACACAGAAAAAATAAATGAATAAAAACCTTGCACAAAAAAAACAGAACAGGAAATCAACAAAGAGGCGCAAGCTAAGTACGTCACGCACCTGAAGCGATTCCTTCACAGGAAGCGCATCTTCCCACGCCCTCTTTCGTCCCATTGGTTCGATCGCCATCAAGGACCGCCCACCACTTCTTCTCTTAAGAGAGCAACTGCTCAGGGAGAGCGTGTGGGACCCACCACCACTTAGCGGGGACGCCCCGCAGTATTTTTTCTGCTGTAAAGCATCACTTATGAGTGCTACCTGTACAGCTCGGTGCAGAGGCACAATAATATCGCCCACTGGGCCCCACAGCCTCTCCGCGCCGATTCAAGGAACACATGTAAATTAGTCATGAGCCACGGCGGCTCACAACCGCTGGCGAGCCAACAAGAGTGGAGAGCGCGTCGATCCTGTGATTTCATCACCTTTTAAACTCCCCGCCACATTTCCTATTGTCCAGGGTCAAAGAAAACTAAAGTGAATGCTTTTTTCTGGCTATATAAGGATGAAAATGAAAACAACATAACAAACCTGAAACCATTCTTTCACAGTGTGTGCCTGTAGCTCCTATCTTTGGGAGATTGACGAGGCCATAAACAGGGCTCAGGAGGACGGTAAACTCCCCCTCTCATAGCACATATGTGCAACAGGCACTGCAACACAAGCTTTTGTTGGAGGGATCCAGGCATTATTTGCAGTGCTCAGTTCCTTACAGAGAAATATTGGTGGTCCACTATTAATCAAGACGTGCCACGCTATGCACACTCCTGTACTGTGTGTGCCACTTCCAAGAGCCCTAGGCATGCTCCCGCAGGTAACCTACTTCCTCTGCCAACCCCTTCATGACCTCATGGTCTCACCTATCCATTGACTTTATCACTGATCTACCTAATCCTGAGGGATATGACACCCTTCTAGTAGTGGTGGATACACTTTCAAAAGCCTATCAATTACTGCCCTTTGCTGACCTTCCTAATGCCTTCCAAGCAGTAGAGACTCCCTTTAGTCAAGTGTTTTGTCATTATGTTATTCCTGAGGATATTGTGACAGATAGGGGGGCTCAGTTTACATCCAGAGTGTGGAGGGCAATAATGGAAAAACTTGATGTGACCATTAGCCTAACCTCTGGGTATCACCTCATACACATATATAGGTACGTTTTATAAACACAATTTATCAATAACATGCTCCTAACCAAATTTCTCTCTTTTACAGGTGCTCACCTTACCATGGGCCATGGTGGATCCTCAAGGACCTCAGGAAACTGGGTTCACCTGGACTCACTACAGGTAAGTTTACATTCTAACAATATAATAATCAATTGTGATATGTTCATATTCTTACAGGTTTTTGACTATTTACATGGAGGCCAGGTGTATTGAAAGTGCTTGATGATATGTCAGGTCTAACTGACATCACACATCATATGTTATTGATTTCAGCACCCTTTGTATCCACGTAATGCAGATCAGGAGGAAGCTCCTGCTGTGGAGGAGTGATTTTCCCAGGCATTAAGAGTATGGAAGGTGGCTCATGCGTGCATTGATCAGGCTCAAGAATGTCACAAAGTTCAGGCATATCGTCATCATAGTGAGGATCCTACACAGCCAGTCTCGATCTCCAGTGTGGTATCAACGATGGACCTTCATCCTCAACTTCTCTGCTGTAAGGTTAGCCCAAAATATGATGGACCCTTCAAGGTAATTCAACAAATTGACCCTGTAACTTACAAACTCTAGTTTGCTGCACAGGTTGGTGATCCCTGGTCCCTTGGCAGAGGCGGCCCCCTTGATGTTCCCTCTCCTCTGCTTGAGGTTGAGGGGAATCTGCTTATTTTTCTTTGACTCCAGACATTGGGGTTGCCCCCTGTACCTTGTAGAATGAGAGGGGTACGGCCCTGAAGACCGGCGTGGGGTGCCAGCCCAGGACCTCCTGGATCCTGAGCTTGTGAGTGAGTTTCACATCCGTCACCTGGACCATACCGCACCGTGTTCTAGGGGATCGTCCCCCGACGGTGCCTTGTGGCTGGAGCCATTCTTCAGAGGGGAGGTATTGTAACATATCTGCTTTCTCCCTCAATTGCTTTCCAGTGTGTGGCATCACCATCTAATCAATCTGCCCTAATCCCACACCTGTCAGCAATTAGTCTCCCTTTACATACCTTCCCAGTTTCAGCCACATTTTGCAAAGTCTCTTTTTACTTACTTGAGTACTAAGCCTGTATTCTGCATATTTTATTTGCCTCTCTGGATTTATTTGACTGTTGTCTGTGTACCCCACACAGTGTGTGTGGCCTGTCTGTGGTTCTTGATTTTGGACTGTGTTTGTTTGACTTTTGTCTGGACCTATTAAACTTTAAGTGGTTTAACTGCGTTTACCTCCAATCTCCACTCTTATGTGACACCCAGAAGGATAGGCCAGATGCCAAAATGAGCTTGATTGGTCTAAAACAAAGTTTTTAAAGACATTTTAAATTGTAATAAACAGTATGTGCATAAAAATGATATTAGTTCTCAGACATGCAGCAGTACTAGCTGGTGAGCTGGCTTTGTTAGTTAACCTACTGTGAGTAGTATTCCCAGCTTCGCAAAATGGAAACGAAGAGGAGAGAAGGGTGGAGCTGAAAGGGAAAGACAAAGTGTACTTAGCAATAGAGCAATAAGTAAGTCAGAAAAATTTATAAATAATAAAACCCATTTGCCACCTGTACTTTGATGACCATTCTGACGTACAGCTAGTCAGCTATTGCTTTAGGCTGTTCCCTCTGTTAGTAATTATCAGATTAATCCAGCACCGACTGAGATGATCACCATTGTTGATTTTCAGCCTCTGTCTAACAGATTTCAATAACATTGGTACGTTCAGCGTTTGCATACAAAAATAGCCTTAGTTTTTACAACTGACTTTACTGCCTGTGAGGATGTTGGGGTGTAGAGATTGCAAGGCTGCATTGTTTAGCATGTAGCGTGATGGTTTAGAGACAGGGTTCCCCTCGAAAAGATCAGGCTGAACTCCAGAGTTCGACTTGGCATACACGTGATATTGTATTTTGCACACAAGCGAAAAGTGAAAGAAAAGACTGGATAAAAACATGAAACAAATGGGTTGCAACTAGTGCAATGCAACTAGTATGACTAGGACACAGCAGACTACTTCTAGTCACTCACACAGTCCCATATAGACATTTCTGGCTAAACATCAACCAGTTTGTGCCGGAGGCCACAAGGACATATCCTACATTCCCTCCTTTCTCTCTTGACTGAATCCCGGGCTAGTGAGGGGTTACACGAAACAAACAATAACAAAACTCTAATTCAGCACAATAAACACACAAAACACATAACAAGAAGCTTCATTTTATGGTAAGTACATTCATTCATATTAGTTCACCATGTTAACTCTTTTCTGTCTTTCCCTACAGGTTCCCAAATCCCACCTCAACCCCTTCTACACACAGCCATAGGCTCTACCGGCCAGTATTGGGGAAGCCCCGGAAGGCACTCACACTCCCCTGAGTATCAGGACAGAATGAGAACAAGGTAAGTATTTCTTCTGTGCACATTTTAATCTCACCTAGGTTTTAACCCCAACAGTCATTGTCCCTTTTCATGCACCAGTGTCCTTTCACAGACCTGGTGGTGGGGCGCACATACTGACCCCATCACACTGCCTAAACAGTAATGTTACCCAACAGAACGTTTTTTCTTTAATCATAAGTAAACATTTGGTGCATACATATGCTACATTTGTGTTTTCTGCTCAGCCTGTTTAAAGCTATCATTGAGCTTTAACTATGTGTATTCGAGTATTTAGAATATCATATGTAGTGTGTGACTGAGTACTGATTATGGTACTATCATACTTCTTGTATGGGAACCATAGTTAGGTAGGGTATTTGGTATCACATTATACACACATACCATTTAAGTCAATAACAATATAACAGGCTTTACAGTAAAAATATTCCTAAGAGCCACTATGAAACTGCATCATATTTAATAAAATATGTTGCCTGAATACTCAAGCTTCTCAAGCAATTGACTGTATATACAATTTCTCATACGCAAGCAGCTTTTGGTCTTCAGACTTCATTGTCATTTGTCTTGCACTTGATGTAACGCAAAACAAATAGGCTTGGTTTGCGCTAAACTGAATACAAGTAAATGCTTCTTCAGGTACCTCCAAACTTAAGAAAAACACAGATACTTTTCCACGATATGATGGAGGGTTTGCTGACATGACAGTTTATACAGGATTAATATAACCTGGGGTTATGACTATAGTATGTTTTATAGAAGGTCAATGCCACTGGAATTTCAACTAACACAGGAGCAAAAATTGAAATTCATATGTAGTACATTTGCAGTTCATATATTATAGATACTATTAGCCTATTAATCTGTCTCTTTAAAGCAAATTTTCTGTCTCTTCTGCTTGATTTTAACATAAGGCTGTCTAAAATAAAACAGTCATTGAATGCTTAATGCGTTTTTCCTGTTAGCCAATCTGAGCACAAATTTTATTCTAAACTTGCAGAGCATACAAAGAAAGTACTGTTTTATTCAGTTTCATTGTATTGGTGTTACATGGGGCATAGAGATGAGAAGATGTTTGTTAGAGTAGTATATTTTCAAAACTTTGTATATTTAATACTTCAAAAAACTCATTCTTTGCATTAAGCTAATAAGGTAACTTAAACTTTGGCTAGCCTGCTGCATGGTATCACTGGACATAAAATGGTGACTCAGATCTTCACTCTTACCAGTCTCTCCTTGCAAATCTCTCACTGGATGTAACTGTTCTATATTCATCTTTCTACAGAGGAAAACTGAAAACATCAGCATCTGATCCACACAGTCTCCTCTGCATTTTCTTTTCTCTCCTCAATCCTCCCCCTCACCCACTTCTCTTACCTCTGACGATTTTGTCACCTTCTTTGAGGTCTTTTTTCCTCAGTCTCCACATAAGAGTGCCTGCTAATTGCCATGAATGCAAATGTTGATGTGTTTGAGTGTATTTTGTGTAAGCTTTATTGTGTGTGTAACTGTGTGTGCGGCCAATGTAAAGGGCCATTTACATACTGCTTCTGGTTTAAATGCTCTTCACTTTACATAGCTGTGCTCTTGTAGGAAAAAAAGAAAAACAAAAAATAGAAATAAAGGAGGCCTTTTACTTGACAAGGCAAGACCTAGTGAAAATAATGTCATGACTGAGCTGACTCTGAGACCACAGAAAAAAAAACATGCATGTTTACTTAAAATATCAGAAATCAGCTGTGATTATTGTGAATTTAGTCTTTGGAGTGAGCCCACAGCAAATAGATCTGAAGAGAGAAAAACAGACAGAGAGGGAAAGCAGTTGTTACAGTAAAATACTCACTTGTCATGTAAATGCCCTTACTATTGCATTGCAAAAAGCCTCTGGTCTACTTCTTCCGAGCAGGAAGTACATGTGGTTTCATAGGAAATTTAAGGCCTTGTGATGAGAGAGCCTCTATGAGGAGTTAGATTTTGTAGTAACAAAGTGCATCCCACATATGCGCTGGACTTTACACAAAATACACACACCAGAATGTCTAATACATACTTAAATAATATCATTTCTATAATAATAGAATAATGTCCTGTCTTGCTTATATATGTACAAATAAACCCTTGCTTATCGTGTTATTATGGGCCCCTAATGGACTGTGCAATTTGAGCAAAATAACTCCAAAAATTACCTCTTTTTACAGATGGTCAACACCTTTGTAGGACTGCAGCTCAGATGGGAATCAATTTTAACTGATACACTAAACTAAAAAACTGATAAACTAACACAAAGGAGGAGAGAGAAGACATTTGGAGAAACAGGTTCGTATTTACTTAAAGGGATTATTTTATCTGTTGTTTGATTTTGACTGCTAAAATAAAAATCTACATTTTTTTTTCTTAGTTGAGATTCCAACAATGTCCATTCTTGAAAAGGAAGTTAAACATATAAATGTGTTTGGGTGCTCTAGATGAGTGGATTTCTGAAAATAATGCCTGCAGTTCTAGTATAAACGCTCGGTTTGACGGATGTGTACCTTTAACTATTTTTAAAGAAGCATGTACTTTTATACTTCTACTTGAGTAAAAAAATCTGTCATACTTGAGTATTTTATTCACTAGATTACCAGTACTTAAGTAAGGGATTTGTGTACTTCTGTCACCTCTGCTTATAAGTGATCCTTGGTGGTCTGTTTTTGTCTGCAGAAGTGCTGGAAGACTGTGCCTGTGTGCATACTGTAAGCCTCGAGGTCTTTTTACCATAAAACACAAGTGGACTGGAGCCGTTTTGTTTTCACAATGCACCAATCAACTGGACGACAAAACAATTACAAACGAACCGAACTGAGACCGCGTTATTTTAGTTGTCTACGACAGCATATTGGAGTTGAAATTAAATAATGAATTTGAGCTCAGACTTTAATTTTGAGTGTATGTACATTCAAAGTATTAAAAATGACAATTCATAATTGTTAGTTTGTCTATTCACTCTTGAGCCCCTAAAACCAGGGGCAAAATAGTTGTAATTCCTACGCTGTTCACCCAATTTGGATGCAATTACCCTGAGATTAAAGCTGCACTTTGCGATCATTTAATCACTTAAATTGAACTGCAGTATGATGTGGTAGGCAGCTAAAATAACAATAAAAGTGTGATGTGAGGCGGTGTGATGAGTGTGTGCAAAATTATAGAGAGGGATGTGGTAGATAGAGAGGGCTTTCAAGAGCTACTGTGTTATACTGAGTCAACGTGAGCCCTGATCAGAGCATTTATATTCATCTTAACTTGGGCTAATCATGAACAGAACTTTAGAATATAGAACCTTCATTTTACATTATTCCAGTCATTTTGTCAACTTTTTATTTTTTGTCATATAGTTATGAACATATTATAGTCTGTTATAGGTGTGTTTTGTGTGATATGGTTGGTTTTTGGTTAGACTTGTATAAAATGTACAGAATGCTAGATTAATTTCTTGTGGATCACTTGTGATCTTTTCTTTATTATTTCAATTATGGAAATAATAGATTTCTCTTTTTCTTGTTTAAGCTGATTTGCAAGATATTTACCTGATACATCATTGTATTTTGAACATTATTTGAGTGTAACTTTCTCTTTTATTTGCAGTGGTAATGTTGTTCAGCTTAATCAATATAAATTTTATTTATTTGTTTGAGTTTTCATTCAAGAAATGTTTTAATTTCCTGGCCTTTTTTAATATGATGAATATGACCTAATCTGACCTTGCAATACTGTTTTGGCTGTTTCCCAAAATAAAGTGGAAGAGACCGATAAAGAATCAATTAGTGCATTGAAGGTTTTCTACTCTCACCTAAAAACTGATGGAAATTTTACTCTTTAAGAAATTATGTATTAAAACATATCTTAAAAAAAATATTGGTAGGTGATTTCTTAAAGTGGATTGTAAGCTAATGGGCACAGGTATATGAGCTGAAATCATGATTGGATAAATTTGTGCGTTAAAGATGTTCAGCAGAAAGAGTTACTTATAGAAAGAAGCTGACAGCTTGTACATAAGGCAATGTATTTGTAACCATTTTGCGTAATGACTTTTTGTCAGAGATTTTAAACAATTTCTTCTTCAATTTGATCACTGTTGTCAAGTTTCCCTTTAGAAGGACGCATTTCACATAAAACCAATGATTTTTTTACATCCTTTTTACAAATGTATTTAACAAATATACCTCAATACATTCTTTCAGAATATTGCTGTTTTTTAGTTCTGTCACAGTCTACCCTATTCACTGTTACAACCCACAAGCAGTGGGGTTGGTTGTAACTAAACAAATTTTGTGAGTAAAACACCACTATTATTTGTTACAAACAAATATGGATATTGGTTCTGTATCATACTTAAATATATTTTTGTTTTAAAGTTCACAACAACTAAATAAGGGAGAGTAACACTTTAGTTGTTTACTCCCCTATAGCATGCATAAAACTTTATTTGATCAAAAAACAAGACCCCAGAAAGCCCAGAATTGAGTTTGTGACCCAAAAATGGTTTCCATACAAATGGGCCATTGTGACTTCTATTGCGACTTCCGTTGCGACGATAGAACATATTACAAATATCAGGTTCACCTGTTCATTCTGTTGTGACAACCATCAGGAGAAGGACTATTAAGTAGCAAGAAGAAAGACACTGTGCCATTATTCAGACTCTGGTGTGTAGACGGTCTTCTCTGTTGAACTGATGCTGCTTTTATATTCTTTACCTTCTCGGTTCTTTTTTCTGTCTTAGTGGTTACCATGCACTTCCTGCTTCTGCACTGGTGCAAATTACATGACAATTTTAGAGGGCGGAAAAAGCTCGCCCTGTGGTACAAAGATCATACTCGAGCTTTAAAACAGACTGTCAGACAACTAGAGTGAAAATGGCACCTGACTAAACTAGAAGTATTCCAGTCCACCTGGAGAGAGAACCTTATAGACTATAGAACAGCACTTACTGCAGCACGCTCAACCTATCTCTCCTCTCTCATAGAAAACAATAAGAATAATCCTAGATTATTATTTAGCACAATTTCTAAATCAACTAAGTACCAAACAGTTGAACTCCAGATGCCATCAGCCTACAGCAGCGGTGATTTTATGAATTTCTACAATAATAAAATTGAACAAATCAGGCAAAAATTTCAGAATGCACAATTAAACTCTACAAACCTGCTGCCAATCCAGATCTTGAGAATATTGTAACTACTGCAGAGAGGCTGGAATTGTTTACCTTACTTCAACAGACTGAGGTAGTTGAAATGATTTCCTCCTCAAAATCTTCTACTTGCATATTAGATCCAATTCCTACAAGTTTACTCAAAGAAATTTTGCCAGAAACAACCAAGCCTATTCGGTCAATAGTAAACTCAAGTCTCACAACAACCAGAACGTTTGACCATATCAGCCCAGTTTTATCAACCCTACACTGGTAGCCTGTTAAATTTTGCATTACAAAATTCTTTTACTGACCTATAAAGCTCTAAATGGACTCGCCCCTCAGTATCTGAGTGAACTTCTCTCTTATTGTGAACCATCACGCCTACTTAGATCAAGGTGCTGGCTTACTATTAGTACCTAGGATTAATAAAGTTACATCAGGGGGGAGAGGCTTCTCATACAAAGCCAAAACTTTGGAATAGTCTTACAGTCAGTGTTTGGGACTCAGACACAGCCTCAGTCTTTAAGTTGAGGCTAAAAATCTACTTGGTTAGTCAAGTCTTTGGTAATTAGTTTTTCCTGTTAGATAAAAGGTGCAGATCTGGGGGTTCATAGACAGTATTATGGTAAACTGGGAGTGTTGGTGCTGTCGTCCTGCTGGTTTCACGTGTTCACTCAGGTTTGCTGACGGTGGAGCGGAGGGACACTGACATCTCAGGGAGCCCTCATGTCTCTGTTACCTTTCTGGTTTCTCCCTTTTGGTTAGGCTGTAATATCTAGGAGCCGGAGTCTCTGCTGCACTCTGTTAACACTGTAAACTGTAATCAGTCAGTCTTTTCAGAACTAACTCTCAATGTGTTTTCTTTGCCGAGTTGAACAGCTGCCCATCCTGTGTGGTCTGATGCTGTTGCTTCTCCTGCCATGATTGGGTGCCCACTGCTCACCAGCGTACTAGACCGGTTTGACCACCATTGAGCTTCTCACTGTACAACACTGTGCAAACCTCACCTGCATGAACTGACCTTTCTGATGATGCTGCTACTGCTGCAGCATAAACTAAAACTATCTAATTATAACCATTGCTTCACCTGTTTTTCCCCGTTTCTGTATATTAATATTTTACATTAATGCTGTTTGCTATCTAGTGTCGACCAGAGGAGGATGGGTTCCCATTTTGAGTCTTGGTTCCTCTCAAGGTTTCTTCCTCTTGCTCTTAGGGAGTTTTTCCTTGCTACTGTCGCCACTGGCAACGCTCATGGGGGCTCGGACCCAGATTTTTCTTTAAAACTGCTTTGTGATGCCTGTTGTAAAAAGCGCTATATAAATAAACTTTGACTTGACTTGAGGGCTGCATAATGGTTGTTTCCCACCCCAATGACATTGTCATTACAAGCTAAAATTCCAAACTTTGGGTAAGCATTATGCAGCAGTTAGTGACATCTTTTGCTACAACGTGCTACAAACAGTTAGCCTATACAGCTAACTTTAATACATTTTGCTGATGTCAATCTTACGTGATTATTGTTTATGCTACAAAGTGTCTATATATGGTGCTTTGGCTTGCTAGAACGTCTTTCACCCAAGGCAGACCATTCCATTACCTCACATATGCACAGATTTCTGCCTATTACGGTTATTCGGCTTCTAAAATACATACATTACTTCATTCAGATCTGAGTTGTGAAAGAGTAATTAAAACAGCACTGTCAATTCTGATGCATTGAGCATGAGACTCATGCAATCGAGTTTAATCTTACAGTCTTAAGCCACACTTGCCTTTCTTCAAAATGACCTCCTGATTATATCAAAACATGCAGAAAACAAGCTTCTTATTTCTCCTCAAGCTTTTACTTAGATGGCTTCTGAACAAGGAACTCCCTAGAAAACGAGCAAAGTCAGTGAAAGCAATTTGGTCTGTCTCTCTTCAGGTAGACAATTCTGTGCTACTTATGTGCGATGTCAGATATGCAGAACAGCTTCAATATCTGCACATCAAACTATGACCACTTTTGAATCTGAATGTCTAGACAAGACTTCTTGGACATGTGGAGATCCAGAATGTGTTCCACATCTGAACATCTGATCATGGTGTGATCATGCCTAATAGCTGTTGGTCCTTCACGTGCCACCAAAATAGCTTCAGCTCACTGAGGCATAGACTCTACAAGACCTCTGATGGTGCCCTGTGGCATATGACACCAAGATATTAGCAGCAGATGCCTTAAGTCCAGTAAGTTGTGAGGTGGTTCTGGATTGGACTTGTTCCTGCACATCCTACAGGTGCTTGAACAGATTGAGATCAGGGGAATTTGAGGGCCAGGGCAACACCTTAAACTTTTCATCATGTTTCTCAAACCATTCCCAAACAATGTGTGCAGTGTGGCAGGGCACATCCTGCTGAAAGAGGCCACTGTAACTGGGGAGTGTCATTGCCATGAAGGGGTGGACCTGGTCCACAACAGTGTTCAGGTAAGTGGCATATGTCACAGATGTCAAACTGACATCCACATGCCAGGACCCAGGGTTTTCCAGCAGAACATTGCCCCCAGCATGACACTCTCTCCGTGGACTTGTCTTCTTCCCACCGTGCATCAATATCCCTGGTAAATGGCACACACATGCTCAGCTGTCTGCATACCTGGCTGTGCACGTGAGGTTAAAGAAAGTGGGACTCATCAGACCAGACAACGTTCTTCAAGGTCCATTGAC